GCACCGCACCGCGGTTGCCCCGGCGGGGGTCACCACACCGCTCCCCACCGCGCCTGCCCCGGCGGGGCGGACGGTACTGCGGCACCCCCGCGGGGTCCCGTCCCCGTCTCTGTCCCCCCGCGCCGGCCCTGCGGGGGCAGCAGCTGCCCCTCTGATTTTGGGGCAGATCCTTGGCTCCAAGGGCGAGTCCCTCCGGTAGCATGGCAGGTTTCACCGTCTGGGACTATGTGGTCTTTGCGGCCATGCTGCTGGTCTCGGCCATCATCGGCATCTACTACGCCTTCGCGGGAGGGGGGCAGAAGACACCCAAGGACTTCCTCATGGGGGGCCGCAGCATGAGCGCCCTCCCCGTTGCACTCTCCCTCACTGCCAGCTTCATGTCAGCTGTCACCGTGCTGGGCACCCCTGCCGAGATCTACCGCTATGGGGCCATCTTCTGCATCTTCGCCATCACTTACGGCCTGGTGGTGCTGTGCAGTGCTGAGATCTTCCTGCCCGTCTTCTACAAGCTGGGCATTACCAGCACCTACGAGGTAAGGTGGAGTAGAAGGAGCCTTTCCACAGCCTTCAAGGAGCTGGGGGGTTTCTCCTGCCTGCTTTCTATGTGTATCGCCTCAGCCTCTTCCTTCAAATGCCTCTGCACTCAGTGCTTCCCTGTATCTCCAAACTCCCAAAGGCAGGCTGCAACCTGCTCTGTCCCCAAGTCTGCCCACACTGCCTATGCAGAGAGGAGGTGCTCAACCCTGCTCTCTTGGCTCTGGAGCTGTGCACCATGCCAGATCTGTTTCCTCACTCCAAATAGTCAGTTCAGCAAGTGGATTAGTCCTCGTGCAGCTTGGATGGTGCCATGTGACTAATGATGTATAATTAATATACCAAGAGCAGAGTGCAAGAGCATCTAACATGGGAACCAGAGTTCTCAAGTCATGCTCCCTCCACATAGGTTTCCAAGCTCAGGTGCTGCCACAAAAGCCCCCCTCTGTGAGAGCATATGTTTTTGCTGTTCCTAGAGATTTTGGGGAGGCATCTTTTCCACCAGAGGCATCTTTTCCACCCAAGGCTGTTCATACTGGTGAATGCCTTCTCCATTATACTTTTAGAGGGAGGTCAGCAAGTGCTCTGTGTCTGTGAGAGTTTTCTTACTTCCACCGAAATATGGTTGAGCTGGTCTTCAGCTTAGCATGTAAATTAAAGCTATAGCTAGCAGCGCAGAGCCATCTGGGGTGGTGGGACACATCACAGGTCAAGTCTGACTGTTTTGGGGTGAGGAAGCATCTGGTCAGGACTTTCTTCTGATTTAGAAAATCTGTGCAACCTGTTTATCTTCCTGCTTGGAGATAGTTCCTAGCTGCAGATTTGGAGGCAATTTGCTCTTTTCACTGAGGACATTGGGAAAGGGGCATCGGTGAAGGTGAAAGTCCTTGGCTAGCTACTTCAGTCTTCTGCATTTTATTACACTGAATAGGGGCGTTGCAGCACTGGAAGCTGAAAACAAGGTCTCTGTTGGTAGACTTAGATAAGAATTCACCAACAGCAATCTCTGGTGGCTTCCAGTGTATTTTAAACTATTAATCTTTGGACTGTCAGTTATGATACTTAAAATAGGGCTATTTTAAATAAAGAATTATGACTGGAAACTCACTGATAACCTTGGCATTAAATCAGACTAATGCACCTATAAAAGATGTATCTTTTACTTGTGGACAGAGTTCAGAGATTAAACAACTTCTTGTCTCTGTCCAGGGGTTCAGCACTGCTTCCTTGTGTGGACATGCTCACAGATCACGTTTTAAATGCTCAGTTCACGGGTGACCGCTTTGAGATACTTTAGTGTTTGTCTGTGTCGATTGAACCGACTGGCAGGCAAAGGAAATCCCTTTTGTGCAATCATACACCCTAGAGGCTTGTTAGGACACACGGTGGGAAGAAATCTGCCCTCTGAATAACAAACTCATTCAGAGGGTGTGCTGTCCCGGGCTAGACAGAAAAGTGAGAGTTCCTGTTTTGCAAAAGACTAGATTTCCACTTACCAGTAGAAGATGGTGAGCTGCTTTGGGCAGTCCAGAAGGTGAGGTTACCATGGGAGGAAGCTGCTGACCACAGAAAACCTTCTGCCTTCTCTTACAGCAGTTCAGATGGACACACATAATGCCAGAGTTTCCAAATTGACTAAGGGTTAGAAATAGCTGTAATGTTTTCTTTGTCTCTCTGATTTTGCAATGCAAGCGGGTTCTGTTGTTTGCTGATACACCACTGTGAACTTCTAGGGAGCACTGTGTGGAGTCAAGAGTTGGAGTCAATGATCCTCATGGTTCCCTTCCAACTCAGCATATTCAATGATTCTGTGGTAATACATGCTGGTTGTTGCCAACTCACAATGCACAGCTCCTTGTCTAGTGAGTGCCTTGAGGTAGCTGGGTAGCATCAGTTTCCATTCTGCAAACTCCGTCGTATACTGGCTAGCTTATGTCTACTTCACTTGCTCATGTGTCATTACCCAGCAGTGAGGTCTGCAGGGAAATATCAAATCAAGTTGAAAGAGGTGTCAAGCAAAGTGACTCTAAGAGTTTTGGCCGTTCATGAAAATTGCAAAAATGTCACTATGCCCTTTCTGTGTTGCTCGTCACTTCACTCTAGTCCTATCGATAATGCCAAGTTTTGATACAAACATTTGGTTTTTCTTCTCTTTTGCAGTATTTAGAGCTTCGATTTAATAAATACCTGCGCCTCTGTGGAACAATCCTCTTCATTATACAAACGGCAAGTAAACCTCAAAGGTGTTCTGTGCTTCTCGTAGCCACAAGGGTTCTTCAGCTTAGTGTAACTGGCTGTTTTCTCTGCATGGTTGATGAGGTTACCACAGCGCGTGGGTGGCTGGGAGTGGGAGAAACAAAGCTCTTTCTGCTCCAAACCAATGAGGTAGGGAGCGGATGTTGGGCTACCTGCCCCTTCGGTCTCTGTGTGCATTGTTGAGCACCCGGAGCAGTCACTTGGCATTAGCGCCATGCCAAGAGATGAGTGACCCTTCACTGCAGGGTGGCAGCGTGAAGGGCAGTCATTCGCCTGCCTGCTCGAGAAAACCACACCAGCTTCAAAATGTAAACATGCCCCAATTATCTACAGCAGCAGCTTTCCTCCTGTGGTCCATGGATTCTGGGAGTCTGACTAATTCTCAAGGGTCTGTGAAAGGTGACAAAAGCTGTCAGGAGCTGTTTTTGCTGTGCAAAGGTTTGTACCACCATTGGGGGAAAAAAATGGGTGTCTGCAAACTGAGAAGTAGCAAATTACTGCCTTGGGGAATGTTAAACAAAAGCAGTCTCTGCAATTGTTTTTTATGCAGTTTGCTGTATCCAGACCATTCAGTGAGTCAGTATGGGACCACAGCTTTTAAACGTACAGTGAGCGTGTGCCAAATGCACCAGAAAGAAAAATGTGTTCTTTTCACAATTTTGAAGTGCACTTTTTGGGGAATTCAAAGCCTGAATTAATATACAACCAGAAAACTTTTCAAGTTACATGATTGCTTTTTCCTGGTTTTGTATTTTTAAGAGACACCAGGAGTTACAGGGCAATCACGCTTGCACCAGTAAGATGGTGGTCGATGCAGTGCTGATTACTTATTTGAACAGTGCTGCTTAGCTGGCATTTGTAGATACACAAGCCCACAGTAAAAGTAGAGTGCAAGCCACTGTGAATACTGACACCGTTTCACCAGCACATATGAAGGCATCACGGTTGTGTAAGTTGGAAAAAGCCAAGTGTAATCTTTGCTTGCGAAGATCAGAAAAATAGTTCTATGCAACTTAAATATGTGCCCAAGGAACTTAACTAAAGAACTAGAGGTGTCTCTCTGTGCCAAGCACTAACAACTGAACCTGAATAATGAAAAGAATAGAGAGGAAAGGAAATCCCCCAGGATTTTAATGGGGTAATTTTAGCTGTTCTGTGAATATTGGCATGTGTTTAAAAGAAGAGGGAAAAAAAAGGATATGTAGTAATACAACCTGAAAAACAACTGAAGAAGTGGAAAGATTGTATCATCAGTCCTGTTTTAATTTACACAAAAATGTGATCATACTTGTGACAAAATTTTAATTTCTGATGGTTCAAAGCTTCTGGCACTTGTTTGCTGCCTATGAGAAAGCCACTTTTTCATGCTGACTCCCTGAATTAGCAGGATTGGAGAGACATGGGTTTGACTGATGGACTATTAGATGGATAAGGAATTGGCTGGATGGTTGTATCCCAGGGTTACAGTCAACAGGTAAATGTTCTAATGGAAACCAATAATGAGTGGTGTCCTGCAAGGGTCTATACTGGGACGAATACTATTTAATACCTTCATTAATGACATGGGTAGTGGGACTGAGTTTGCCCTCAGCAAGTTTGCAGATGACACCAAGCTGAGTGGTGCAGTTGATATGCTAGAGGGAAGGGATGCCATCCAGAGGTCCTTTTACAGGCTTGAGGACTGAGCCCTTATGAACCTCATAAGGTTCAACAAGGCCAAGTGAAGGGTCCTGCACCTGGGTCAGGGCAATCCCCAATATCAGTACAGACTGGGGGATGAACTGATTGAGAGCAGCCCTGCAGAGAAGGACTCAGGGATACTGGTGGATGAAAAATTGGATACAAGCCAGCAATGTACACTTGCCAAGCATATTCTGGGCTGCATCAAAAGAAGCATGGCCAGCAGGTCGAGGGAAGTGATTCTCCCCTTCTACTCCACTTTTCTGAGACCCCATCTGGAGTACTGCCTCCAGCTCTGGAGTCCCCAGAATAAGACAGATATGGACCTGTTGGAGTGGAGTCCAGGGGAGGGCCATGAAAACAATCAGAGGGCTGGAACGCTTCTCTTATGAAAAAAGCCTGAGAGAGTTCGGATTGTTCAACATGGAGAAAAGAAGGGTGTGGGGAGACCTTATTGCAGCCTTTCAATATATAAAGGGGGCTTATGAGAAAGATGGAGAGAGACTTTTTACCAAGGCCTGTAGTGACAGGACAAGAGGCAATGGTTTTAAACTGAAAGAGATTTTGGTTGGATATAAGGAAGAATTTTTTTTGCAATGAGGCTGGTGGGCCACTGGGCCAGGTTGCTCAGAGAAGTTGTGGACACTCCATCCCTGGAAGTTTTCACCGTCAGGTTGGACGGGGCTTTGAGCAACCTGAGTGGAACATGTCCCTGCCCACAGCAGGGGAGTTGGACTAGGTGATCTTTAAAGGACCCTTCCCACTCAAACCATTCTGTCAGCAGCCCTTGCTGACAGTCACTGTATGGACAGCAAGTCAAACATTGACTGGGCTTGACAAGTGTCAGTAGGTGGCTGATACAGCTGGTTCTGAGGAGACATTCCCCAGGGTCTGGTCAGGACTGGCAGCTTTCTTGGCATACAAGCTATATATGAAGACTCATGTCATCAAGAGAAACAAACGTGCACACACAGGTGGGAAGTAGTACACAGGTAGGAATAGCTATTTCCCCAATGACCCCACCATCCTTTCTCACACATGCTTGTAGCAGGTGTGGAGCAAGGCACCAGGGCAATCTGGTCATGCTGGGTGAAGCAGCCCCTCCATCCATACTAATTTCCTCCCACAGCTGGATTACCGCTCACTCCAGTTACTTCTTGGCTCTCTCCCCAGCATAGCCACTGGCCATATGGCAGAACTCCACAACAGGGACTGGATTGGACCTGCTCAAAAGGCATAGAGTGTGATCCACCAGTTAGCCATTGTGCTCTGGTTTACCACCTGTGCCTGGGACAAACTCCACACTTGCTGGAAGGGCAAAGGCTTGCTGGATGCCAGATGACATCTGATTCTGCTGCTTTTCCATGCCCAAGTCCCACCCCTGTAAATCAGGGAGTCAGAAGAGTTCAGTCATGGAAATCTGATGCAAGTCAGCTCAGGACCTGACCAGTGATTTAGATCCTTTGGATCAAGACCACTGACCTCCACAGAAGTTGTCTGCACATGGAAAGCTGTATTCCCCTGAACCATGCCACAGTTGAACTTGTCCTAGTAGTACAAGGCAGTAATGACGGTGGTAAAAAGGCAAACAGGGTTAAAAAATATACACAAAGAAATTATAGAGGCTATCAGTGTATGAATCCAATTATGCCCTTAAAAATGGATGGAGTAGCTCCTTCATTTGTCTATATCTTTCCTGTATTGGGTGAAAATACAAATCTGCTGCTAATCATGCATGGCTTCATTTTACAGGAGTGTAATCCCTTATCATGCTACCTATAATGACAACTAATGCTGTATTTTTTGTTCATACTGAGAGGCATATTGATCCCAAGACTGAGAAAAAAATTGGAATAGATTCCTTGGCAAACTGTGTGTAAACCTCATCAACTTCCTTTTGCACTTGTTTCTGCCATATGACTGCAGTCTTAAAGCAATAAAAAAAGTTAATTTTTATAATTAGCTAGCCAGGAAAAGCTGAAGAGGAATTTGGTATTCAAGAGTCAGTGGTGTTTGTTTTAAGAACATTAGGCTGTGAGACTGCAGTGCTGGTTAGTCTCAGACATTCATTTTCTAACAACTGGAATTATTTCTTGACTGTTATGAATTTATGAAATATAGACTGCATAAATGCTTGAAGAGAAACCATCTCAGAAAGCTATCATCACATTTTCCAGGAATTTACATTTATTTTGATTTAATATCTTTTTTCCCCTTCTAGATGTTATACACTGGTATTGTCATCTATGCTCCAGCTTTAGCATTAAATCAAGGTAAGATAAGTATACTGCAACTGTTCTATGTTATAAATTTTTTTTTTGCATATAGTAATGGCATGCTTTTTCTGGTAAAGCACACCTAAAAGCTCAAGGATTGACTGTGAAGTCTTCTAAGATTTCTGTTGATCCTGCTGGGTACTCTGACAGAAGGCCTCCCAGTTGTAATCCTAGTCCTTTAATCCCTATCTGTAAGAAATTATAGAAGAGGCTTGAGGGAAAAATCTGCTCTCACTCTACCTTTCATGCAGTATCCTTAGGTCATGGCTACATCCAGAAAAGTTAAGAAGACTTAAGTAAATTTTGAAGGCAATGGAGAGACTAAACATATACTTAATTTCCCTGGTTAAGTGCTCTTCTTCAGGAGGAGAGTGAGGCAAATTTCTGTAAATATGGTTCTGGGCTGCCTGGAGCTGTTTAACTCAGCCTATCGTTTCTCCTGGAAAAACAAATCAACAGCAAAGAGATCTTGAACTTAAGATATTTGTTATGATATTTACAAAATTAAATATTTCCACTTTCTACTTCAAAATGACTCTTTGCTTTTAAAATGAGCCTCATTTATTTTGAAAGGGGAAGAAAGCTTTTATGTGGAGCCAAATTAAACTTTTAATCTGACACAATTAATTTGTCCACTTGGCAAGAAAAGGCAATAACAAAATGCAAATAAAAAAATGAATCATTTTGGCTAGAATGAAAATCATGCTTGTTCTGTTTGTTGGGGTTTTTTGGGGGGCTTGTTCACTGAACAAAAAGGAAGAAAAAACCCAACACTGTCTGAATTGGTTTCCTCCGGTGTGTAAGTCCCACAGGTTTTATGTCCTTGATGTTTATATTTGCCCTGCAAATACATGCTAAACCAAGCTATGACCTAGCTGGCTTCCAACTAGAAGCAATGATTTTCATTAGTTTTCTTGCAGTGTTTCTAATTAGCCCAAACTGTCTGCCGGGGAGCCCCCAGTGCCCTGCCTGGCTGCATGTGAGCGTGCCAAGCTGTGGCAGTGACAGCTTGTATGCCAACCACAGCACAGTGTCGTCTGGTGTAGGCATACTATGACGTTTCTCTAAAAGAAAGAAGAATAAAAGAAAGGCTTTTAGTCTGACACATTTCCTCCAGACAACACGTGAACCACCTTGCCTCCTCAGAGCATTCCCATGCTGTTTACTTGCTTAAATTCTTGTGTAAGGACTCTGCGGGACTACCTGGGCTTCAAGGAAGGACACGTATTTCCAAACCTTCCTGAGTTGGGGCCTACAAACATATTGGATGTGTTGATTGGCAGCATTCACATTAAAGACAAATAGCTTCTTAGATCCTGAAATATATCTAACTTTTTAGCAGTTTTCAATATCTGTAACAACTTTCAGTTTTGGAACTGGTTAGGGTGAATCCCCTGGTTTAGACGCAAATCTTTTCATTGCCATTTTTTATTACCTCCTACTTTTGCATTTAACTTATTTCTAGTTTTTTTCAACAACCAGATTAGGGGTGAAAAATTTGACTTATTTTTTTTTTTGTCCCCAATGCCTCATTCACACTGGTGGCATTTCCCTCTTTTTCAGTCACTGGCTTCGACTTGTGGAGTGCAGTGGTGGCGACTGGCGTGGTCTGCACTTTCTACTGCACGCTGGTACGTGGGCCCTCCGACTGCGAAAAATCACTGTTCCTTTCACTATTCACATCCAATATGGAATTTATTGGAAAGTAGCCTACTAACTGGCTTACCCCTTGGGAGTACATTTCACAACGTAGCTGTAGCTGCAGGGTCATATTCACCCAGGGACTTCTCTGGATGCAAATGTAGCTATGATGCGACTCAAACCTTTTCTGTTTTGATATGTTCAAACTTCTGTTGTTACTGAAAGAACAGCAAAAAGATAGATTTCCGTTCCTAAAAATCCTGTCTTTTTTTCTTCTAATCTAGTAGGGTTTAGCTGTGTAATTTGTCAAGCGCCTGCTTGCTGCAGCTATAGCAGTCCTGAGCTTTACTGAATAGAGCCACTGAAAATAGCAAGTGCCACATGAACAGATTGGTCTTTTGATTACTGTTAATTGACCAAGTGTTTAGAAAATATTAAATGGAACCTCAGTGACAAATTTATTTGTAAATGTTGGGTTAAATCATATTTATTTTTATTCAGATGAATAGTATGCCTTCTGGAGTTAGTGGCACTGTATATGATGTAAAATGAGCACTGTTTGCCAATTTATTTTTGATACAAAGTTCTGAATCAGCTTATGTGATGAAGGAAATACTGGATTACACTATGTGTATGGCCAAAGTAAATTCTAGCGCACTTCAAAAAAAAAAGGCCAGGATGTCCTGAGTAAGTTTCAGGATGCAATTCCCGAACATTCCAGTTCAGAATGACTTCTATTAAAGAAGAAGATTAAATTAATCTATTATGCATAATACAGATAGTATACTCTTAGTTCAATGTGGGTGCAAAGCAAGAGTGCTGCTGCCTTGTTGTGTCTGATATGTGCCATTCCTCATACAGGGTGGTCTGAAGGCAGTGGTGTGGACAGACGTTTTCCAGGTTGGAATCATGGTCGCTGGATTTTCATCTGTGATTATACGAGCTGTGGTGGTTCAGGAGGGAATTGGACGCATTGTAAACGATTCCTACTATGGAGGAAGATTAAACTTCTGGGAGTGAGTTTGCCTCTTTATTCCTACAATAGAATAGAGCCAATGTGACTAACTGTGAAATTAAATTGCTACTGAAGGAGGAGGAGGAGGAGGGGAGGAGTTGTGACCCAATTTTTATACATTTTTAAACAAGCTTACCTAGTTTGAGGGATATTTTTTAGGTTTTACACCATGCAAACGCCTGTAAAGAGCAAAACCTTTTTGCTTTGTCAAGTAGGTGTTTTAAGGATGCATTTTGGATTCCATTGAAAGTGAATGGTGAATAGGAAAGGACAATTGTATTTATACTTATAATTTGCAAAGAGCTGATGTGGCACTTCAGCTGCTGAACTAAAACAACTGGGAAAAGAATAGTTTTTGTCTAATCTGAAAAAACGAAATGTTTTTCCTTTTCCCTGAAAGAAAATTTAAAGTAGTTTTAATAGTACTTTACCCTCCATTATTATAACTAATCACAGCCTAAAAATATAATTTTGCAAGGTCAAGAATATCCATTCTTACAGTGTTGAATCAAAAACCTCTTTAAGTTATAAAAAAACCCCAGTTATTGTACTTTTGATGAGAAACTTCACCCTGTGCTATTAGTGAAAGTTTAGTGTGACATGTATTACCTTTTGTCCATGAGTTCAGTATACTCATCAGGTTTTCTGCAAAATTCTTCACCACGTTCTTCAGTAAATAATTCATCTGTGGGCACGTTTTTCTTCTTGTGAACAGTTATTTTTTCAATCTGTTTGGCTGATTTGCAGTGGTTGTACTGCATTGCTTCTTCCTCCAATCATAGAGTTCACAGATAGGAAAAGAAAAGGAATAAAGGCATGTGATGGGTGAAATAATATTACATTGTTCACAAAGATAAGCATAATTTATTGCTATATTAAAGTGTGATTTAAAAAAAATATATACTTATGGCCATTCAAAAGCTGTTATTCACTTAGAGCTAAACCAGCAAAATGTTTTAGAGAGGCTCTGTCCACGTCCACAAAGGCTAAGTGTCCAAACACACCTTTATATTGGTGTCAGACTGATGTCCCTCTAGATAAGCAGGCATATTAGACTTTTTACTGGAGCATCATTTCATCACAACAGTCACAGGCATCGCACAGCTTTACGTAAGACTGTAGTTTATAGGCAAATAAATCAGTTAAAAGTTCACCTTTGAACAGATCAGTGTGTTTCGCTAGATCAGGATTTCAGCTCTGAGTTTTAAATTTGCTTTCCGTGACTTTACATTTCACATATCTGAACGTTCAAAATCTGGCCAAATTAAGAACATTTGTATTAGAACAAGTATGAGGAAATTTTTTCTCCTAGCCATTAAGGTCTTCTCATAAAGACAAGATTTTCGTATTCTGAATTTATTTTCTCTTTTCCCTCTCATTGTAGCTTCAATCCCAATCCTTTGCAACGGCACACCTTCTGGACGATTGTTATAGGTGGGACCTTCACATGGACTGGCATTTATGGGGTCAACCAGTCTCAAGTACAGAGATACATTGCATGCAAAAGCAGGTTCCACGCGAAAATGTAAGTCTGCCTACAGTAACTTTTAATGTCTGAATTCAGCAGTGACTGTTCTTTATAAAGGAGATTTTTCAAAACGGAATGTTTTTTGTCAATATAAAACCCATTTGTAAAGGGTAACAACTTTTGCTTTTTGTTTTGTGGACCATGTAGAAGACAAATTGGCCCAATAAATACTGGTATTTGAATTACATATAATTGCTGTAACATTGAACTTTGTGCCAGTATTATTGCATAAAAATAGCTGCATGAAGTTTATATGCAACCTAAACACCAAATAATAGAGTACTTGTGCTGAAGCCATATCAGGACAGCATCTTGAGTTGCTACTCTACTAAACCTAAGTCATTGTGTGGCAATTTTGCATAAGTAAAGACTAAAAGATTTTTCCATACCAATTAGTATAGATGTGAGAAAATGTAGAAATGTTTTATGCTTTATTCAGTGATAACATTGCTGAGGAATAATATATTTTACTTTCAATCATGATTTTTTTCAAATAATGCATTTTTTTTTAGGAATTCACTGTGGAAACTGGCAGAGTGTTCTGTTTTCCTTGAATTTAAACATTTCTGATCAGCCTTTACTCTAGAATGGAGTATACTTTCTACCTCTATTATCTTACCTTTAGTATCATTCCAGTAGTTCACAACTCAGGATTTAAGAATTATTAGCAAGCTCATAAAGTCCATTTATAGGAGAAATATATAAATGCACATCATAACTATAGTGCCTATAAATTCTATAATACAGAATACAGAGGAGAAGTTTTATGAAGGCTTTCACTTCATAAAGTCAGCAAAATACCCACAAAATCATGCACAGTTTATAACTGAAATATTTTGATTATGGCAAGAATCCACTTTTTAGCCATTGACACTGCAGACAGGAACGAGCTGATGCTCGTCATCAGCCACATCTCCAGCATACAGTGCCACATCTCCAATGCACCACGTGGCTTCTCCGCAGTCACTGGCATGTGGCTGGGTGCCAGGTTCTTGGCACTGCAGAGGCAGGAGGTGCATCCCACATCCGTAACGCTGCCTGGCATGATTGTGTATAGGAAAACAGCCACATACATTGTGCCAGATTTGTGTGCCAGTGAGACTGTTCTTCCTGACCACCTGCTCCACCTGCGCTCGCACCTTCCCTACCCTCTTTGTAAGGAGGGACACCTCCAGGGCATCCCAGAAGTAGAGCGTGGCCAGGGGAAATCTGGCACCGTGGCAGCTTCTGGGCAGATTTTCTCAGCTGTTGCAGCAGCTTTGACCAGGGCTGGAAGCTATCTGGTTCTGGAGGGGTTTGGATAGGATTTGTAGGTCATACCGTATTAGTGGTGGCACAGCCTTAATCAGTGAATGCCTCTCCTGCTGGCGTGGGTGGCTAGACTCCGTGGCATCTTGCTTGTGCCTCGGTTGTGCAGGGAATTTCTCCTGCATGGAGAAATCACTTTGTATAATGATTGCGGCTTGTCACAACTACAAACACTGCCATCTACCTAGTTCATCAGGGAATGTAATTAAACACATCTGGCAAGTCACATTGGTGGCCTGCACCTCTTATTGCCTTTTAACCTGTACATAGAAGTGTAAAACGTCATCAGGTCAAAGTAATAGGGTTTTGTACCCTTGTGACATTTTCTGTAAGGCTTTATAAGAGACAGCACAATAATAAATCAGAGCTGAGAAAATAATTCTCTCACAGATCCCAACTTGCAGTTTTTGGGAAGGCCTTTAACTGTGGCACAAGTGTCGGAATTTTCTCAGGCTTTGGGAAAGGATTTCACTCCGTTCAAGAAACACACCAGTAGGTAGGAGCACATGCTATCACCCTCAAACAATAACTAGGCAAATTGAACATAATGCTCATATATGTACGATAACAGACACAGAGCAGAAGAGCTACATTTTCAGGAAAATATGGGCTACTAACACATTTTTCTCTACTTTCCTTTCAAGGTCATCATCTGGCCTGTTTCAGTGCTGAAATCTTAGAGCCAGCCTGAAACAAACAACAGAAAATAAGCCTTGTGCAGTCACAGTGCTTAATTCACCCAAACTCCGCCCAGTGTTACTCAGCCAGAATTAATGGGAACACTTCTCTCCAATAGTGCTACAATTATTATACTCCACTGCTTAGTCATAGGGTGTACCGTGAGCTGGGATGTAAATCAGAATTAAAAAAAACAGTTTTCTTTTCACTGTCAAACACTGACGCAGTTTAAAAACAAGAATTTCTGGATTCAGACAAACAATTTATTTTGCTTCAGTGTGTTTCTCTCGACTTTCTAATCTTTATTACGCGCTATAGGTTAATACTGCTATTACATCTGTTGAAAAGATCTGGACTGATTTAACTCTTTGGTTAAATTTTGTGCTAAATCAGCTTATATCAAGGTAGATTATGCCAGTGCAGGAACAGCTTCAGCTAAATGGATGCAAGACATCCAACCAATATGTAAGCAACTATAATAAGATGACTACTTCATTTTTACTAAATTAGTCTAGAGAGAAATTTAAAGTGCTGCTGGTTCTGTGTTTAGACCATCCCTAATTACAAAGACAAAGCATAAATGCAGAGTTTCCCCTACTATGTGTAAACCAGCTTTTATTTATATAGATATTTTTAAGAGTTTACATTGTGCTTGCCAATAATTTCTCTATAGTATAAAACTGATAGTTCAACCTAGTTAATCTATGTTATGCCTTTCTGAAAATGTCCATTTCAATGCCTAACAAGACCTATAAAGTTAGGTTTACTTCTTCATTCATCCTGATGGTCTTCTAGAGCAATCCAAAGGCTGGTGCCCCTTACCTTCATGGGAACTGAAAGCACCGTAAGGCCTCCTAAAGCATTGCAAGCATGGATATATTTGCACAGGAACTGAAGGTCCTCCCAAAGGAGGTCTTAGCAGTTGGCACAAGTCCAGGGTATGTGATCTGTCAAGCAGTTAAATCCCTATCCGCGGATGGTACACAGATAACCAGGAGGCAACTGCTGGAAAGGAACGCTGTTTTTCAAGGGCAAGCTGCCGGTGGGTGTGTTTGTTTGAACTGACCACCCTAGGTGAGAAGAACTTTGTGACCCAGGAGTCATCAAGAGCTGAGAAACATTTGAGAAGATCAGATAGTTAGATGGAAGGGAAAAGCCCCCACTGGGCAAGGAGAACAATTTGTTTTTCACTACTAATAGAGGCTGCCTGTTGTGTGTGGCAAAAGTAGCATTAGTGCCTGATGAAAATGCATCTTGGCTCTCAGTGATAGCTGAAGCTCCCGTCAGGACACGGAGAGGTGATAGGGTCACTGGACCATACCAGGCTCCAAGTTGTTTAGTTACTGACAGGGAAGCTCTGGGGTTGGTGGCAACCTCCTGCTCTCTGGAAGTGGCACCTGTAGGTGGCTCCAGACCAGGTCCCAGTGCCTCATTACTGCCTCTCAAGGAGACTGTCCCAGGAAGAAATGGGGGATTTGTTGCTTTACAAGGGCAACTCCAGCGTTGTGTAAGCGTGGCACTGTAGCGGCACAGAAGTGCTGGTGCTGACTAAAATGTACCCCACGCTTTGATCTGGGGCACCCCGCCTTACAAATCCGTCTGGGGTTTGTCTTTACCAAGGGATGTGGTGAGGGGTGAAGAGCATCTTCTTGCCAGCTGCCTGCAATGTAAAACTCATGCACACGATGAAAGGTGGGGATTGCCATATCGCCCCCATCATCTCCCGAGCAGCTTTTGTCTGGGGACGGGCACTCAGACCATACCACCTCAACCAGAAGTGTCATTCGTATACTTAAAAACATGATCTCACAGCAGGTGAAATGCTGGGAGCTGTATTGTGACTCCCTTTCTGGCGGGCTGCCACCGACCAAGGAGGTCTCCTCACTGGTGGTGCGGGAGCTTGCTTCCCTGGCCCTGGTGGTGTCTTGTGGGATGTCGAGCTCTGACATGGTGTTTCCTTGTGTGTTGGTGCAGGTCCCTCTACATCAACTTGTTGGGGCTCTGGGTGATACTGGCCTGCGCGACCCTGTGCGGTCTGTCCCTCTACTCCATCTACAAGGACTGTGACCCGTGGATGGCAAAGCAGGTGTCAGCATTCGACCAGGTAGGGCCCCACGTTTCAGGGGAAGGTGGTGAGGGGGCATCCTTCCTCCGCAGCCATAATAACCAGACTGGGGGGTGCGTAGGGGTTCACGAGCCAGGGAATTGGGAACAATGACATGTCCGAGTCCCGTATCAGGTGAGTCTGTAACGCTGATGGATTAAGCTGAAACCATGGTGGGAAGGAATGCCCTGGAGAAAGCAGCAGACCCATCCTCAGCACTGTTCAGTCCCAGCGTCTCCCAGCTGTCCCGGAGCTGTAGCTGAGGAGCACGGCAGGGAGAGAAGCGATGCGGAGAGCGCTCAGTCCATCCACATCTGTGGGTATTTGGGTTTTTGACCCAAAATGGGCCCAGCATTGCGTGAAACAGCACTTCAGAGAGAAGCGAGGAGAAGTGGTTGCCACCAGGGACAGCTGAAAGAGTGGTGCCCGCGTGGGTGACTGCAGGCCCTACCGAGCTGCTTTGCATCACCTGACCTAAACTGCTCTGTGCCAAGGGAGGCGAAAGCCTTTTTGGATTCAAAACACGGTGGTGCCCAAAGCATACACCTGGAAGAAGGCTACCAGCAGGCAGCGCTTTGCTGGTGATGGTGCATCCTTCCCTCCTTCGGGGGAGAGCTGGGCAGTCAAACCGTGCTGCGGAGAAACCACCTTGTAGCTGACGGCAGCTTCTCCCTAAGTAGGCCCTGAGCAGCAGATTTACCTGAGGAACAAGAGTTCTGGGAGCCCATAGACTGACCAGAGTCAGGGCCCCAAGAAAACCATACAAGTCTTTTTCTTGTATGTTTATGCCTGGGGTAATCATAGGCTCCGGATAATGCCCCAAGGACAATAGCTGGAAAGCCAGGAGAAGCACACAGACAACAGAGTACCTGAGGCAGGACCACCTGGTCTTTAAGGGTAGAATAAAATGAAATGTGGAAACCCGAAGGAAATTAAGTTGTTCCTGTCATTCAGATTATTTTGGTGGAAACTGAAAGCAAGATACTAAAAAGACCATCTTGTCTGTGAAAAAGATGCTTCACAGGAAGAAAATCTTAAAATTCCTTAAAAAACAATAAGTAAATTGTTCTCAGGTACCCTGAGGTTATTGGACTGTATCTAAAAACCTTTTTGTGGAGTCAACAGCAAACATAAGCATCTACTGTGGCATCCAAGCCCAACAGAGTGATGTACAGTACAGACTACGTGCTGCCCAGTGCTAGTTTTCTATACCCTCGTCACTGGAAAGGAAGCCCAACAGCACGGCTATATGCTCACCTCTGCTAAGTGGTCTAAACAGACTTTGCTGTATCTCAAGTGGATGTTTTTGGATTGGTTTTCTCTGTAGAAAACCAATAAATAGCGCAAGGTGGGACATTCAAAATTAGAACAGCTGGGCAGAATGCCAGTGAGAAGTCTATAACAAAAATAATACAGTGAGAAAAACAAAAGTTAGACCAAGATAGTAATAGTTCTTACTCTCTGAATTTTTCAGCTAATGCCATACCTAGTGCTGGATATTCTCCACGATTTTCCAGGAGTGCCAGGGCTTTTCGTGGCTAGTGCCTACAGTGGGACATTAAGGTAATCTAATACTTTGGAACCTAGTGTCTTTTTTTTCTTCTTTTTCATTAGAGCTAAAGTTGCATTTATACTAAAACTTTTGCATTTCATTTCTTTGTCTAGCTAATTTTTGTTCTTTAAAATAAACCCTGTAAGATTTTTGATGATACAGCTTAAAAATCCATATTTCCATCAGTGGTGCTCTGAGGTCCTAGGACTCAAAGCTGTTTGGAGTCCTCTGCTAGCAACGTGAGGAAACAACTAGCCACACATGATGGATGGCACTAACAAATCCTCCTCTCTGTGCTTTTTAAGCCTCTCTGCTTTAGGAATTCTTAAGTCCTGTAAGTGGGTGGTTACACAAAATAGCTACAGTTTGGGGGAATTTCCAACTGCTCATCTTTAATTTCCCAGTTTCTAACCTTCATAACTTTAAAGCCATCTCCCTGTCTTCATCCCTGACCTTTAGTCTTGCTTACAAAAGAGTTCCTGGACTTCCAACTGTCTTGAACGAACCCCATGAAAACAAGAATCACTATATATTTTTACTGAAGGAGACAAATCAATCTGCTTCTATCCCATAGTGGGGAGTGTTCTGTTCAGCTTTCCCAAGGAGCATCTTTTAGGAAACATCACCTCTCTCAGGGAAGGCTCTGAACAATAGTAAGCAGATAAAAATAAGGAAACTTAAGAATGTGATATCAGAATAATTTTTTTTTTTTTTTTTTTTGTTCTGAGTACTTGTAGCTACATAAATAGAGGGAACAGCCAGGATATTTGTTTTTCACATGATGAGGAACGGTTGGTGGCTTGTGAGAGCAAGGTACACATAGACACAAGATCACCTGACTGGCTTTGTGCCTTAGGAACGCTGGTTTCTCTGACCCCATAGGGAGCCTGGAATAGCTCAGTTTGGACTAGATGCCTAATTTTTAGATGACTATAATTAGATTATCTGAATCCTACTCTGAGAGCGCGTTCAAGGTAGTCAGTGACCTGCATGTAGGAATTTTACCTACCCAGATATATACTGTGTAGATCATTTGTGAAGGTATTACATATACAAGTAGTGTTTACAGCTTAGCCACATGTAATGGGTATTTTCTTTGACTTCTCCAGGCCCATCTTTTTATGAGGATTTGCCTCGTCTTCACCAAGAGCAATTATTTTAAACAATTTTTGTAAGCTCTTAACTGCATCACTTGGAATAAAAAGTTATTTCAACCAATACAGCCGTTACATTAGTTTTCTGACACTGTTCTAGACAGTGGCAGTTTCTCTCTGCCAGTAACCCATCTGTTATCTATGATTTCAGCTTCTAAGATAAAAAAATCATATAAATCTTGCCTTCTGTAGTACAGTGTCCTCCAGCATCAATGCTCTGGCTGCCGTGACTGTCGAAGACCTCATTAAGCCGTACTTCAAATCCCTCTCTGAAAAGAAGTTGTCATGGATTTCCATGGGGATGAGTATGTCTGGAAAAATAACTTTTCCACTTTTGCTTTACAAAGTGAGGGCTTGATTCAGATCTCGCTTATAGCATTGTAAGTCAGGAGCCAGGACTACATTAGGGCAATACTTGGGGGAGATGAGATCAGCTGCGTAGGTTTGACACAGAATGGGGGACAAGCTATTTCAAGTGAGCATAAGGAAACAAAGAAGCCATCTTGTTTGATCTTTAAGCGGGAAAGATGCACTGCATCTGTATTGAGTATTGGTTCACAGTACTACAAAGCCAAATGTCTCAGACTGAAACACATGTTATTATTCTTTCATCTGTCAAAAATGAGAAGCATAGAAAACAATTTTGTAACAAACCTTTTGAACCGAGTGGTATGTGAACAGTAGCATTGTGTCCCAGTAACATTCCAGAGAAGCAGAAACTTCATGTCTTCTCTGATACACACTCAGACCTTCAATCTGTTTTGCTCCTCTGTTTGCCGTAGCTCAAAGAGAGTCAGAGCTAGGCTGAGCAGATGGTTTAAATCTCTGAAGTGCAATTGCTGTCTCCGCTAGTTGTACTGTCTGTGATCAGCTGCAGGTGTAGCCCAAGACAGTGTTTGAAATAAGATTGGAAAAACCACAGTCCCAACATGGTGTCATAGCCCATACCAGTGAACAAAGCAGACTGGTGGCAGGTGACAAGTATTAAATATTTTCACCTGAGAGCAGTTTCTCAAACATTATTGCAAACAATGTTTATGCCAAAATTGTTGTTGGACTTATCATGAGTTGCCTGACATATCGCATTAAACAGTGGGATTAATCTATTGCTTGTGCGGTGAAACTCAGCAGGGGTGGAGGTGGAAAAAACAAATAAGCCAGTGTTATGGGTCCTGGGAAGAGACAGTAAGTCCTGGTGACCCAGGATGTTCTTTGTCACAGTGCCAACTCCCAGTAATGTGCCAGCATTTACTTTCTTGCTCCAAAGACTTTGGACTGAGAAGCAAAAATCATTCCCTCACAATAAAGACTATGACACAGGAGATTAGCTGAGAAATATGAACAATACATGTGGTGTTGCCACTATGGTTAATCCATATGTCTGCCATTTATTAACTAATCTTTAGTAATACACAGGAAGAGGATTTTGTCAAGTTTGCACGATCTCCTCTTAATGTAAACAGAAACCTGACCTTTTAGCCAATTCAGACTCTCCTAGTTAAAACCCAGATGCTAGCAGGTTTGTTTTGGAGATGTCAGGACCATGCTGGGTTAAACGGAAACATTTCCATCAGTGATTTTCAAACTTTGGCAGATTTACCTATCCTTCTGCCTTTCCCACACAGGTCTGTTTTATGGCGGAGTCTGCATCGCTATGGCTGCACTGGCATCTCTCATGGGAGCCTTATTGCAGGTAGGTGTCAGACAGCTTTTTCATGCCCCTGTTGAATGACCCAGAATGAATTATATAAGAAAATAATTGCTGGATACCATTATGAGATTAGTTTTTAGTCTTTGTTGGGTACTGGCCTCAAATAGCCCATGGCTCGGCCTCTGCTTTAAGCACCCGTTTAACTATACCAAGTCCTGCCAGCTAAGTATGCACCAGTTAAAAAACCCTCATAATTTCCTTCTCAACATCTTTCTTGCCCTGTTGGAGGCTTTAACTTTCTTGCACAGCACCTGATAGCAGACTCTCTTCCTTCCTCAGGCAGCGCTCAGCATTTTTGGCATGGTTGGTGGCCCCCTTTTAGGACTGTTTGCCTTGGGGATCCTCTGCTCCTTTGCAAATGGAATTGTAAGTATAAATTTAAAGCCCCGTTCCTCCAAAATTCGTTGATAATTTTGAGGATCTCCTTCCCCCTCTCCTCTCAGTAATTTTATGCTGGGCAGCAAGGGAGAGGTCTTTGATACTTTCCATAAGGACATTTCCCCTTGCTCCCTTTCCTCCTTGTCCCAAGGAAGCGATGAACAGGGCCGTATAGGAACTTGTATTTCTATCCTAAGACAGGATTTACATGAATGGGGGTGGGGTGGGGCAGACAGCACAAACTTTGGGAATATGGCCCATGGGTTAGTCTGATAGGGTTGCTATTTAGTGAGGTTCACTAACCTTCACCTCTTTGCAGTTGCAATTTTAATGTATATACTAGAAAAAAAAAAAAATCACTATCTGTCAGCCAAAAAGAAAAACCCACCCTGAAGTAAAAGAGACTTGCAAAAACAGATCACATGAGAAAAAGGAAAATTTGCTTCTGGATTTGTTCAAGAAGAATCTCAAATAAAGCAGTGTTTTCCCATATACCATGCAGCCCAAGGCTATCCTTTCATTGTAAAGGCATAGTGGCAAAATTAAAAGAGGTATGCTCAGGAGCTGTGAGTAAACACTGTATTTCCCAAAAGGGGAGTGAACTAAACTCTCCAGCTCTCCCCAGCTGTATATTTCATTTTTGCTATGCAGCGTACATTTTAGATTATCTTGACTGTTTCTTACTCATCTAGGTGTTGTTTTTTTCAAATACCCTTTAACCTTTCATGTAAATCCAAGTTTAATTTTCTGTTTTGCAGGGTGCATTTGGGGGTCTTATCAGTGGCTTTGTTGTTTCGCTTTGGGTTGGAATCGGATCTCAGATTTATCCTCCACTTCCAGAGAGGACCAAGCCACTACCTCTGTCAACTGCAGGCTGTAATATATCCTCAGTAAACTGGACGACAACAGAAAATCCCTTAACAACAGTCTTCAGCACACCAACTGCAGAGAGGTATACTAGTTCGTCATGTGCAACCAACAAAGCATGTATTTATTTTAAAGCAACACAAACATCTGCCTAGCATTTGGATTACTATAACTATCCCTCCCTGATTGACCTACCAGGCTGTTTAAGATGAAGAAGTTTTCCCTGATTTTTTTTTTTTTTTCCTGTCAGAGTGAAGTTTGTCTGAGTTATCCCAGAACAGAAGTCAAAGTGAATTTTCCTATTGATCTGTAAAGCTTCAGTTCAATATTTGAGCTTAAAGGCTTGGACATGCCTTACCGGGAACCACAGTGTCAATGAAAGCACAACGTTTACAGTTATTGGATTAACTTCCACAGTCTGTCACATGAATTAAAGTAGTAGGCAGTTAAAGGGCAATTTGCCAGTTTAACAGTTCCACCTACGATGGCTTGTCTGTGCAGAAATAGTTCTATTCAGGAAATTCAGAAGACACTAATATCCATATAACAGGCAAAATATAAGGGATTTTCTCCTCTTTGCAATTACCATATGTCTCACTTTGGACAATCACAATTAAGTGTAACAGTTATGAATGACAATATAGGGAACAGCAGGAACAGAAAGAAGCTGAACAAATACATTTCTAGGAATTCCCAATCCTTACACCTTAGAGCACTGTGCAATCAAGATACCTTGGTACATACACGGGTGCCCAACATCCAGTTTCATATACTGTACCTCTCACACAAGGCCTCTAGCATTGCTCATGGCTGTGGGGAAGCAACTGTTGCAACGGAGCACCTCGTCAAAATAAGGTGTAACCTGAGGTGTGACAGTTGCCTTATTGTTTCTGGCCATCTAGAGCTGCACATGGCTGATTTTCTACTTTTTTTTTTTTTTTTGGTGTGTCCCCTCCGTTAAATAATGTACCCCCTTCTAAAGAAGTTATCCCTTCATCTGGATAGCTGGAGTCCTCAGCTCTGCATTCCTAGCAGAGACAGGACTGTCCTGTTTCACCTGCTCTGTCCCATGCATTGCCTCACTGTACTGACCAGGCTCCTCCCATACAAAGGAACTTGCCCTGCAAATTTTAGAACAAGTTTTCAGTGCACGCTTTATTGTATGGAGGTAGTTCAAGACTACCAGGTCGCTTGGTTCAGAAGTAACTGTGCATTTATATGCCATCTGGAAACAGACAGCATTTTCAAATTGCCTGGAATAGGAAAGCAGAGATTAACACTTTTTCTGCTCTTTTTCAGGCCCGCCCTGGCAGACAACTGGTATTCCTTGTCTTATCTCTACTTCAGCACACTTGGGACGCTTATCACAGTAGTTGTGGGAATTATTATCAGCCTCCTAACAGGTACTAGTTCCAGAGCTGTGACTGAACGCGTCTTAGATCTCTTTCAAGCTAAGATGACCAGAGAGTTGTCATTGCCACCGGAAGTGCAGCTGACACTATTACAAGCACTGTGTAAATGTTCCCATCCTAAATGTCATTTTCTCCCCTCAGCCCTTCCACATCCCACTCTTGGTCTCTGTGCACAGCAAAAGTTACTTCAAATTTCTAAGGAGAAAGAAGTTTCAGCAGTTTTAACCTGAGGGGCAAAAAAATCTAATAAGTTAAGACATCTGTCTTTCCTGTTTTATTAGATGCCAGCAGGGGCTGAAGGTTTAAGGCTTGTCCCTGAACATGGCAACAACTCCAAGCAAGGAGATACACCCAAGCTTCTAGAGGAGAAAAGCAGTTTTGAGTGAGTTCAGAGCACTCAAGGGTTATTGTCTGCACCTGTACAGTGCATGCTTTTCACCACATTCCCCAAGCACATACCTAAGAGCTGCAGACTCTGTGCATGGCTATGTTAACTTCTTTCTCAGTTTCCCTGTACTATTTGTGCAAGGGGCAAAAAGCAGCACCCCACAGGTAAGCACAGGACTTCAGTTTCAGCCCATGGCCTCACCACTTTTGCATCTAGGTGAGATGCAAAGTGCACCCATCATCCACCTCGTGCATGGCAGAAATAGGACTAAAGCAGCTGCTCTCACAGCTTCGCCAGTATGCCCAGCCAGATTCCTATGACAGCCCTCCTCTTTGAGGCTGTTAGATTTCAGACCTATTAGTCTGACCTACGACGACTCCAGAACTATGAAACTCCAAATCCAGCAAACTCACTTCCGTTAGCTTCTCCATGCCTTACAACTAATAAGCACAAGTTACATTTCTACCATTTTCTTTTCCTTATGAGTTCCTAGAGGATTTGCTCCCCTCATTTCTTCCCATCACAAGCTTTTCCCATTGCTATAGTGATGCTTGTAGACAGGTTTTTGCTCCTTACCAGGTTGGGATCAGGTCACCCACAGGCCATGAAACAAAACACAAAAGCCAGGCAACTCAGTAAATCCAGATGAGAAATCCTCAGCCCAAAAAACAACCCAAAAGAACTAACCCAACCACAACAACACCACCCTACTTTTTGTGGTGCAAGATCCCATTTAAGTCTCAGGTGGCAATCAGAGCTAATTCCTAGCACCTGCATCTCTTTTCTTTCCCACACACATTTTCCCCTCAAGAATAGTTCATCTTCCATGCCTTAAAAATGCCCCCAAAACATCCCATTAAGCCTCATCCCCCTGCCTTGGGGGCTGCCCTTAAATAACTCACTATAAAAGTTGCTGGTGACTCTAGAGACAGGAGTCTTGCTGAGAGGGAGCTGAGGACTGGGGCTCAGGCTCCAGCACAGCACTTGGTACCGCAGCTCCTGGACTGGCAGAGTAGTCCCAGATATCAATGTATGGGATTCATCTTTTTCTGATGATTGTCTCAGGTTTTTTACACAATAAGAAATCTGAGGAGGGTCTAGGAAAGTCTGGGAAATGGTTAAGGCATTTCAAATAGACCTTGAGGGATCATTTTATCTTTTGAGAGGTATGGGGTATGCTTCATTGTAAAGAAATGATCCCTAAGGCCTGCAATAGCTTGATGGCTTTTGCTGCATGACTCTGTCCTGCTCACCTGGCCTGGTGCCCGTAGCTGGGCTCTGACATACCGTTTGCATATGGAAACCTGCCTGATTGAAACTTGCCTGTTTTGCAGGAGGGCTCAAGCAGAACACAGATCGTAAATTCCTGCT